CTCTTCAGCTCAAGGCGAGCGCTCTACCACTTGAGCTACAGCGCCACTTCCGGTTTTCTGGTGGTTTATTGGAGATAGGAGTCTCACGGTCTCTCCTGCCTGGGCTGGCTTTGAACCGCGATCCTCAGATCTCAGCCTCCTGAGTAGCTAGGATTACAGGCGTGAGCCACCAGCGCCCGGCTAAGCAAAACATTTCTTTACCTCGGTCTCTAGGTTTCTCTGCTGTTGTTCCTGTTGCAAGATGGGTATGCTGGCAAGATAGAGCAACAGGGAGGCCATTCCAATAGCTTGGCTCTGCTCCCAGGAACACCCTTGTCCTCTGCATTCCTGGGAGACCCTCTGGGTCTCTAGATCCAGTGGCCTGGAGCCCGCTCGGCCACACTCCGGGGCTGCTGATAGCCTGCTATTTAGTGAGTAGGTGCTGCTGGGAGTGCTTGCAGCTACCCTGGCTCTAGTTCCCTCCCCCCCGCCCCCCAGCAGCTGGGCTGACGTGGGGCTGAGGAGGGCATAGGGTAAGACTGCTTTCCTGGAAGGGGTGGCAAACAGTTACTGTCCAGCTTCATGTCTTCCTGTTTCCTGAGGTCAACTGATAGGAAAAAAAAATCGGAAAGGATGTCTACGTTTACATTTTATCAGACAAACTGGGAAGGGAATTCCGAGGTTTGTGAACGGTGAAGTTCAAGTTCCCCAAGAAGATGATTCTCTTGCACATCTATGTGATTTCCAGAACTCTTGTCCTCCACACCTCCAGCTTTGTGATGCCACTTCTGTCCCAGAAATGCGCCTTGTAGTGAGTCAGTGGGCGCTTCCTGGGCCTGGTTGCTCTCCAGGCCCCCTGAGAAGAGACCCTTCCGGATCCCCCCTCCCCCCTCCCCGCTTCCCCTACTGGCCAGGAGGCAGCAGCGCGCAGGCCCAGCCGGTGTCTGCAACTACATCATGGCCGTAGAAGCAGTAGAAGAGGTGGCTTTTTGAATTATGTGCATTTTTGTATGTTTACTTATATATTGGCTTCTTAAGAGTTTGAAAAACCTCAAAGCTCAGAATGCTCTGTGGCCTCCAGCTGCTTGGCACATCTAAGTGGGTTTTACAGAAGGTGAGGTGAGCTCTTTTGGGCCCCCGAGGCCCCTCCTAACTCACCTCACCATCACTTGGCTTTGGCTCCCAAAGGGTCTGGGGCTTGATCTGATGTTCTGGCCTCTCCCTCCCCGTTTGTGACTGCTTTGCCTGCCGTCTGGCTACGACACTCCCTACTCGCGCCCTCCGCCTGCGGGGACCAGGGGCACATGTTCTTAAGGCCATTGGATTTGAAGCCAGATTCCCCTTCCTCCCCAGTCTGAACTTAGGGGGGCCTTCCTCCTCACAGCCACCCAGCGAGACCGCAGCGGGGCACAGGCAGGGGTGACAGATCCTGGTGGAGGCTCCTTTCCCTCCTCACCCTCCAGCTCTCCCAGGGGAGAGGGATGTGCAAACTGTGCCTCTGTGTCATGTGTTGTCTTCCCGGTTCCCACGAGTAACATCTGGGCCCCAGGCCCGGCAGCTGGGTGGCTGAACAGGTTCCCATGTCCTGCCGCGGCCTCCGTGAGCGGCCACCGCTCCTAGCGCACCCCAGCCCGGCCCGGCCCCACACAGACGGCGTGGCGTGCAGTGATCTTAGGCCTCTTAACTTTTTTTTTTTTTAAAGAAAGAAAAGTACAATTAACAAGCCTCTTTTGTAAATGGGTTTCCTTTCTATGTATAAAATCCCAGCAGTTCTTTGTTTTTACATGTTCATGCTGTGTAATTTTGAGATGTTACTGAGATTCTGAACATAATGTGCATTTTTTCTGTACAGATGAAATGGGAGAATTTAATAAAGAGTTTGCAGGTTTGTACTTGTTACATCTTCTCTCTGGTGACTCCTGCCATGGGTGTTTACAGAACTGGGACTGACTTTGCTGCTGGGACTATCCAGGTAGCTAGGTCCAGTGGAACGAAACTATGGGACTGGGGGAAAGGGAGCCTCCTGCCTGTGCTGTGTGCTGGTGGCAGAGTTGGAAGTCAACCCTCCTACGACATGATTAAGGTTCCATCCTGGGGAAGGTACAAACCTGCATCCTCTTGGGATCCCTGCGTGCCTTTCCTTAAATTGTCAGCAATGCTAATTTGCATCTGGGCATTATTAAAAGGTAATGACTTAAGGAATCTGCCTGGTAGCAGTCCTGCCTATCCTGCGGCTCAGGTGGTGGTTGTAGGGTGATAGGAGGCAGGAGCTGCTCCCCGGGGCTCCCTGGGCTTCCTCCAGTCTGGGGAGGCAGCTGTCACTCAGGAGATGGTCCTGAACATGAGGAGCGGCTGGAGAAGGTGAAGTGAAGAGCTCTGGGGCCTGTGAGTGCTATGTGTGAGTTACCGAGGACCCTGGGCAGCCCCCAGACCTGCGGGTGGAGACTCACAGCAGAGGCCTGGTGTGCTGCCTGCAGCTCTGGAAGTGGTTTCTGGGTTGGGGCTCCCTGTCACCAGTACTCTCCCCATGGGGGGTGTAGTTCACCTCCAACCTCACTCAGTCCCCCAGAAGATGGTACAGCCGCCAAACATGTAGTCAGTTTGCACCTGAGCCATCTGAACCACCCTAAGTTTTCATAGGCAAAGATTATTCTGGTAAAAAGCTTCAGTCCTAAAAACAAGCATTTAGTATTTTGTGCTCTAATTGGCCAAGACTTAAAGGGCTTCTTCCAAACAGGGGAGACCCTTACACCTCTGTCCAGCCCTGCTGAGCCCCCGGCAGGAGCATCTGTGCAAACATTGACCTCCAGCTAGCTGGCTTGACCGCCCTGCACATTTGAATGACCCAAGGCCCCAGCAGCCACTGAGTGCCAGAAGCAGGAAGAGATGTATGTATGTGAGACAAATGAAATCAAGTTAGAGATCACTCATTTATTGTCTCCTGTAGACAGGTGTTAGGAAACTGAGTCATGAGTGTTAGGAAAGATCAGTGGATGAAAGGAGAAGAAAGAAGAGACCTCAGTGGACTGGAACTTTAATCATGCTGCAGAGGGACTCCCTGTAATAGGAGACAAAGAACAGGAGGTATGGGGGGGGGGGAGCGGCAACTTACGTTTTTATATATTCTAGGGTGAGACTCTTCTTTGGAATTTCTTGGTCCTGTCCTGTTTGGGATTTATGATGCTAACTGTCCCATTTGGGGTTTTATGGTCTGGATAGCATCCTGATGCAGGTGGTCCTGAATTTTCAGATAAGGCCCGGTTTGAAGTTTTCCTGAGAACCAGGAGGAGGGAGGGTGGGCAGATTCCCATTATTGTTTCTCCCAAACTACCCTGAAGTGCTATGGGGAAAAGGCTTCTTTTGAAATTTAGCAGGATGTTAAGTTCTTCTGCTATATCTGAGATGCAGAAATACTTCCTCAAGAATGCCTCTCCTTGGTCAGTCTCTTGTTCACTAGAAAGGTTGCATTGAATTCTTAGCTGTATCTTGCAAAAAGATTCCTGTAGCCCAAATGGCTTGAAATTTCAGGCATCAAAAAGACCAGGGTATGGGCTGGGAAGGTGGCTTAGTGGTAGAGGGCTTGCCTTGCATGCCTGAGGCCCTGGGTTCGATTCCTCAGCACCTCATAAGCAAAAGAAAAAACCAGAAGTGGCGCTGTCTCAAGTGGTAGAGTGCTAGCCTTGAGCTGAAGAGCTGAGGGACAGCGCCCAGGCCCAGAGTTCAAGCCCCACAACCGACAAAAAAAAAAAGAATGGGAAGCGAGGTGGCCACGAGGAGCAGGGTAACTGTAGATGCAAAGGAAACCCTGGTGTGCCTGGTCCGGGCCTGGCTCGCATGGCGGGACGCGGCTGCGGAGGGCAGAAACCTGGGCGGGGGCCGCGGGCGCCGAGCCCAGGCCCAGACCAACTCGAGGCGGAGGAGGAGCGAGACGGCCCGGGAGGTCGTCCGCTAGCTCCGCCTCCGGCTGCGGCCCGGAGGCCCGAGGCACATTCCGGGGACAGCGCGAGCGCCGGCCTCCACGGGTCTGCGCTGCGGACCCCCGGGAGCCGCACCGGGCCAGGCCTCGCTCCTGCTCAAACCCTCGCGGAAAAGCGCAGCCTCCCGCCCACTCCCCCGTGGGCGGGGCCGAAGCCCTGGGCGGAGCCTCGCGACACCCAAACAAGCCCACGTGGAGGGGCGGGGCCTGTGCGGTGACGTCCCGTGCGCGGGGGCGGGCGCGCGTCCGCCGTACCCTTGCCGGGGGCCGTAAAGCGCGGAAGGTCGCGGTCCCCCGCGCTCCCGGAACTTTGGGCTCCCGGGTGGCGCCCTCCAGCCCGCGCCCTGTCGTCCCGCTTCCGGCCCGCGGCGATCCCCGGCGACCGTTGTGCGGAGCCTCGCATCTGCCGGGCGTTGCGGAGCGCGGAGCCCGCGGCCCCATGAGGTAAGGAGAGCGCCGAGGGGCTCCGTGGCCTCCGCGTCCGCGCGGGCCTGGCTCCCCGGGACCCGCGGCGTCGCCCCGCCCTTTCCTCGCGGGTCCCCGCGGACGGGGTCCGCGCCGCCTCCGGCTGCCGTTCGGTTCCGCCGGCCGGGCGTCGGCCCCGGTGGCGGCGCGCGGGCCCTTGCCGGCGCCCGCGGTTCGGTTTCGGTCCGGGGCGGCCGCAGGCCGCGCTGCCTCTCCCGTGGGCTCGGGCGCTCGCGGCCGCCCTCGGCCGCCGCAGGTGCAGGTGTTTTCCCGTCGTGAAAGCTGCGGCACCTGCGCGGTGCGGTGCGGTGCGGTGCGAGCTCCGCAGGCGCCGCCGAGGCGGGGAAGCAGCTGCGTGGCGAGCCCAGGCCGGGGCGGGGGCCTCCTCCGGCCGCGAGCCTGGAGGGGTCGCTGCGAGGGGCCCGTGCCGGTCAGCACTGTCCACGCCCGCTTCGCGCGTGCACGGTGGCACCGGGGTGGGAGGCAAGGGGCCCTCCCGCCTTTCCGTGCTAGTGTTGTTTCAGTGTCTGACACTGTCTGGATTTCCTTGTGTTGAAAAAATACGACACCCTGGCTAGACTAGCAGGACAGCAGTGCAGAGGGGGACCCTGGAATCTGCTCCTGCTGTGTGTGGGGCGGGGGGTGGGGCAAGTCTGTCTCTCCTGGGACCAGCCTTCCTTGAGCGCACCCCTGGCCAGCGCTGCAGACAGAAGGAAAAGTGGGCAAGGGACACCTGCCCCCCGCTGTGGTTAGTATAAGATCTGATTGGGCTGCAAGGCTGTGGCTCACACTTGTAATCTTAGCTACTCAGAAGGCCGAGGTCTAGAGAATCGAGGTTTGAGGCCACCCGGGCAGAAAATGCCTCCAGATTCCATTGACTGGTTATGTACCTTAATGTAATATGTATCGTATACGTGTATCAAATTTACTGCAGCCGTAAATATTATATGTCAAAAATAAGAGCACTGTAAATAAGTGCATTCTGGAAAAAATACCTAAGAGCTACTAAAAAAGAATTTCTGCATCAGGGAGCTTCCTAGTAAATCAAGGTAGGGTACAGTGTTTTTGAGCCTATCAGAATTTTAACTAAAGACCTCAGTTAACATCTCCAAAGGCTCAGATAACAGGGGAAACAAAAAAGATTTCATGTACTGGACAGGAGCACCAGCCTGGGCAAGTGAGCCAAAGGAGTGCTAGCCCTGAGTTCAACTTCTGGTACCTACCGCCCCAAACCAGCCAAACAAAAAAGTTGTGAGCACAACAAGCCTGGGTCTTAAGATTGCTCAGTAGGCCAGGTGTTGGTGGCTCACAGCTGTAATCCTAGCTATTCAGGAGGCTGAGATCTGAGGATCTCGGTTCAAAGCCAGTCTAGGCAGGAAAGTGTGAGACTCATCTCCAATAAACCACTCAGAAAACCAGAAGTGGTGCTGTGGCTCAAGAGGTAGAGTGCTTGCCTTGAGCTGAAAAGATGAGGGACAGTGCCCAAGCCCAGAGTTCAAGCCCCACCACGACCAACAACAAAAAAGATTGCTCAGCAGAAGGTATTTTCGTTTTTTTGGGGGTGGGGTCCAGTCGTGGGGCCTTAACTCTGGGCCTGGGCGCTGTCCCTCAGCTCTTCAGCTCAAGGCTAGTGCTCTACCACTTGAGTCACAGCGCCACTTCCGGCTTTTTTCTTTTTGCTTATGTGGTGCTGAGGAATCGAACCCAGGGCCTCGAACATGCAAGGCAAGTGCTCTACCACTGAGCCATCTTCCCAGCCCATCAGCAGAAGGTATTTTCTAAGCACAGAACATTTCTCAGTAATGTTTTTCACAGTGATTTCAGGAACTTTACAAGAATTAAACCAGGTGATATTTATTTCTGACATCTTCCATTGTGTCTTTGGTAGAGTTAGCTTCCTTTGTTGTCAAGCTTTACTCTGGTTTTGCTACCAGACCTGTTGCTGGAGTGGACCTTAGTGCCAGCTGTCCTTTGTTTACTACTTTAAACTTCCCTCCTTTGAAGTAATCATGATGAGCAGAAACTCAACAACCTTTGTTTGGCCTTGTTACTCGGAGCTGTTATGGTTTATTCCATCCTGGCACTTGTTTTATGTTTTCTACCTTTGCAGTTTCATTCTTTCTGCTAGAGCATGAGACTTAAGGTTCTGTCCTCACATCTCAGGCTTTGCTCATCTGTTTATTTATTTATTTTTTTTGCCAGTCCTGGGCTTGAACTCTAGGTCTGGGTGCTGTCCCTCAGCTCTTCCGCTCAAGGCAAGCACTCTACCACTTGAGCCACAGTGCCACTTCTGAACCCAAGGCCTCATGCATGCAAGGCAAGCACTCTACCACTGAGCCACCTTCCCATCCCCTCATCTGTTTTCTTGTGTATTTTTTTGACCAGGTAAAGTGATAAATGGCAGAGTTTGAGTCTTGGCTGGCTCTGTTCTGTAGAAAGCAATAATCTCCTGTAATAACTTGAATCAGAGTTCCTTCTAAGCATGGAAGTGTGAGGGTGTACATTAGAGCTGCAGTCACCAGAATGGTGTGCAGAATATCTGATGGGTTTGCTTTGGGTTTGTTTTTATTAATTTGGTTCAAACTTAGATGGGGAAAAGGAAAATGTTGGGAATTTGTTGTGTTGTTATTCAAAAAGTTGTTTGAGACATCACTGTCTTCAGGTACTAGGGGTTTGAATCCAGGTCTTAATCACCAAACACCTCCATGTAGTATGGGTAGCAGTGGGTTTACCTAGTCTTAAACACATGTTGTTCAGTTAATCCCAACTTGTTTTCCCAAGTAGTAAGGGAGGATCGACCTCAAGCACTGCATTAGGCAAGGGACTGGTCAGCCACGGCCATCCCTTCCACAGGTTGAATAACCGGAATTCCCACATTTGGCTCCATCCTGTCTTAGGGGCACCTTGTTGAGCTTGTGAAATGTTTCTAGGAACCGTAAGAGACAGTAGAACATGTGGGGGCTCAGGGTCTTCAGTAGCCTCTTTCCTAGAGAGCCCAGGCGTTAGACACATGGTGTTTCAATGGGAACAGCCCACAGCAGGAGGGTATGTGTATAAGGACATGTCCAAATACAACCCTTTATAAAATTGATGCCAACAACAAAAAATGTGAGGTAGAATAGTTGGGTGAGCAGGGTGCTGGTGGCTCACACCTGTAATCCTAGCTACTCAGGAGGCTGAGATCTGAGGATCATGGTTTGAAGACAGCCTGGGCAGGAAAGCCCATGAGACTTATTTCCAATTGAGCCACAGCGCCACTTCCGGTTTTCTGTTGGTTAACTGGTAGAGCGCTAGCCTTGAGCTGAAGAGCTGAGGGACAGTCTCCAAGCCCAGAGTTCAAGCCCCACAACCAACAAAAAGTCAGGTGAGCTGGGTGTTGGTGGCTCATGCTTAAGAGGCTGAGATCTGAGGATCATAGTTTGAAGCCAGCCCAAGCAGGAAAGTCTGAGAGACTATTTAGTCACAGAAAAAGTCAGAAATGGAGCTGTGACTCAAGTGGAGCATTACATTTGAGCAAAAGGAGCTCAGGGACAGCACCTGAAAAGACAACAGAATGAAGCCCAGTGACTAAATCTATACCCAAGAGCTCAGTACAGTGAAAGAGCAATGGTTCTCCTTTGTTCGGCTTCCGTGTGAATGTGGCATCGCACAGACATGGTTGTGGGTTGTGTCAGAGCTTACTGTGAGTCAGAGGCTGGTGTCTAGTGGCTGCAGCAGGAGAAAAAAGGGAGGCACTCACTCTCCAGCCAGACCAACATTTTGGAATCAGGTGTAAATGGCTACCTGTCCAGTGTTTGCTTACCCTCTGTGACAGCCACCAGATCACTGCAGATGAAGGCAGGACATGTCACAAGCATGTGCGGCAAAAGAAAATGTCTTTTTATTTACACACAATACATGAAGAAAATCCCAAATAAGACCCAGCTGGCCAGAAATACAGTGCACATTCCACATCCAGAGGGCAGAAATGCTCAGTCACTCTGTGTACTCTAAAGCACCCAGGCTCTAGAGAAGGGGTCCTACTTACTAAGAATGCCCGCAGTGCCACATGCTAGCTGCAAAGAACACACGGGAGCTGGGAGAAACTATATACACTTCAAATACAAGTAGCCAGTTACAGGACTTTATAATAATTACAGTGGCATTTTTGTACATCCCATGAGTTGAGCAGAGAGAGTGTAAAGTGTGAAGTGGAAAACCCTTCAGTGAAATGAAGGAGCTGCAGAACTTTGTCCTGCACCCCTTCTTTGCTGAGGAAGAAGAGGTTCTGGAAGGTGATGGGAACCCACAGGCTGATAGAATAAGAAAAGTTCCCATCTCCATCCACTTGACATTCTGGAGTGTAAGGCACTAGAACTGGGCTTGGAGAGGTGCTCCAGTTCCTCATATGCAAAGGAAAACTTGGTGAATATGCTAAAAATACCCTCCCCTCTTGTAGTTTCTGCCCTTCATGACCAGAAAACAAGGCAGAGATGTTTGCAAAGGATTAAAAATGGGTGCATCAATATGAGGAAATGGCTAGTGAAGAAATAATTCTTCGAGATGCAGTTTGCCTTTTTAGAGGCCAAGCATCCTATCATACAGGGAGTAGTGCTTATGTATAATGGACAAAAACATACAAAAATAGTCCATTCTTATGAAAAACAGTACACTGGAAGTGATAAGGAACTGTAGCAGCAAGCCCCATACTGGCATGAATATGGGAACTTTCAACTCAGCACCTTGGAGTCCAAAAATGGTGGAGGGGGGAAGAAGTGCTGCCATGCTGCCCAACAGAGCCATGGCTTACCACTTCTGACAGTCAGAGGCCATGGTTAGAGCTCAAACATCCTGCGCCCTTTCTACTCACATGCTTCTGAATCTGTGTGCCTGAAGATGAACCTTCTTTATCTGTAAGAAAAATGTACCTGTGATGTGTTGATAAAATGCTGCTTATATATCAACATTCCTGAGGGTTTGTTGGGAGTGTGATTCGGAAACTATAGTGGCGGAAGGATACAATTCAGTGTTAAGCACTTTTCAGTTAAGCAGAGCTCTTACATACTACAGAGGAGCCTTGCTGACTACCTGTCCAAGAAGCAACAGATGAAATGAACCTCACCCTTCCAACAAGTGATGCCTCTGCTGTACTCTGGGACACAGAATCACAGGGCTAGTATTAAGATTGCTAGCCGAGAACATTCTTTGCTATCTGTTACAGGTCCTCCGAGGATGAAGATGCATTCAAATGCCAACAGAAGTATCCATAATCTAGAGGATAAACATAGCTAAAAAATCTCTTCAATGAGGCAGAGCACACTTAGAAGCTCCTGACATTCATTTCCGTACTGCCACTGCTACCCACAGGATGGGAGAGGAGGCGGCCAATGAGTACATGCCAGAGCAAGGCAGTAATACTATGAGAGCTGAAAATCCTTCGGTTTAGTTATGCTGTTAGAAACAGGAAAGCAGGTAGTGCATAACAGGTAATAGCCCAGGGTAGGGTAGCACACCTTATGATAAAAGCTCACCTGAAGTGGGTGTACCCCATTGCTGCAGAAATGGGCTCTTTGTAGTCAAAGCAAAGCTGATGTTTGAGCACTAGGCTTAACAATATGCATGTCCCATGTTTGGTGATGCAGAGGCCCCTAATAGTAATTGTCCAGTTCTCTTTTACCACTTAAGATGCTTATAACACCAAGTGGACAAAGCAGTTTTACTTTGAAAGTTTTTTTTTTTTTTTTTTTTTGCCAGTCCTGGGGCTTGAACTTAGGGCCTGGGCACTGTCCCTGAGCTGCTTTTGCTCAAGGCTAGCACTCTACCACGAGCCACAGCACCACTTCCAGCCTTTTCTGTTTATGTGGTACTGAGGACTCAAACCCAGGGTTTTATGCATGCTAGGCAAGCACTCTACCACTTACCACTAAGCCACATTCCCAACCCCTGGAAGTCTAGTTAAAACACGCATGTCACACTAAATGTACGAAATAAAACCAGACTTATACTAAGGTTGAATGAGCCATGAGAGTATTTAAAGGGCATTTAATAAATAAGTGATGGCCAAGAAGATTAATACCTTCCTTGCCAGAGTCCAGGGACGATGACCCTAACTTATGGAAGAGGTGTTTACAAGCCCAGTCTTAAGGGCTCACCGCACCAGAAACGCAAGCACTATTGGCTCACAGGGGAAGACCGACATCAGCAACGGGAGGCCAGGGCTTCTAGCACTACTTCAATAAAAAGTTACCGCATGATTCTGGACATAGCTCTCCTACTCAGAAAGTCAGCTAATTAATAAAATAGTGATTAGAGATTAACAAGTGCAAAAAAATAAGAGAATCCAAATCCATATTGAACAGTATTTGGGGGTTGGTGGGATGAGGCTGGGAGGAGGGCAGGACTAGGGTTTAAACCGGAGCTTTGGGCTCACTAGACAGATACTCTACCACTTGTTACACCCTAGCCCTCCAGATTGAAGACTGGGAATGGCACCCCCCCAATTTTAAACAGATGGCTTTTGTTCAAGCATTTTTCTAATTGAATTCCAAATATTCATTTATAGGGAGGAGTGGAATGGTGCGAGCACAGCTGAAAGAACACGAATGCCGCGAGCACTGTTACCCGCTCCCATCTTCACAGGTCAGTGGGCTCCTTGCTGGGCTTTGGCCACGGGCTCATCCCTGCTCTCCTTTGTAGCTGCTGTTTTCCTTGTTTGGCTTCTAGGGAGATTAGCTGAAGGTGCTGCCTAGGAGCAGCACCTTCAGCTAGTTTAAAAACACATTTGCTCCAAAATACAAAGGCTCCCTGAACAGAACTCTAATTACATGTTCCTTTAAGTCAACTAGAAGTCCACCCACTCAATCCTCCAAAATATGTGGACGGTCAGTAATCAGGTGGGCGTGGTCTAGCCGGAGAAATGAGATGGAGAAGGAGCTAGTGTGAGTGGGTTACATACCCCACAGAAATATCAGAAGGCAAACACCTCAGAATCTTAAGCTACTCTAGTCTTTAATATACTTACAGACATACCACAACTAATGCTATCAAGATACCAAGACAATAAAGGTAACAGCTGAGCTAAATTTTCCAATAGCAGCTTGGTTATACTTTCAAAAATATGGATTAGGTGAGTTTGTACACAAGCGTTGTAGTTGGACAGCAAAATTGGTGAAAAATCTAAGTTTCACCCTCAGAAAACATACTTCTTAAAAGTGTGCAGAGTACCTTTGGGGTACCCCAAGTCATTTTCCAGTCCAAAGGATTTAGAGAGATGACTCTAGCCTTGTCACTTAAGACTTGTCTTATCTTACTCAGAATTCTCATTGGACCAGCTCTCAGTGGTCATCTCTGTATGGTTTTGTTCCTGGCCAGAAGATGATGTAAATCTCAGAATCCCACCTGACTTTCACCTCTTTCCTCTAAAGAGAGAGAAGAATGTATGTTGAGCCTGTGGACTGGCTGCCACAGGGCCGAAGTGAGGCTGAGAGTCCTTTGAAGAGGGAAATCAAGATGAGATGCTAACTTTTGAGTACTTAAAAGGAACACAGCACTGTTTTAATAGTCGGAAACTTGGCATTGGCGATGGCATACTTTCTGAGGTTAGACCATTTCTGCTGGGTAAAGCAACACAAAAGGCAACTTTTTTTCCTCAATGCTGACCTAATTGTTTCCTCATCTACAAAACAAAACATAACCTCATTACAGATATTAGCAAGACTTGAAGAAAATTATAGGCAGATTGCCCTGGCCCAGATGTTTAAAAACTAGTATTTAAGAATGAGGATGCTGTCAGGTTAATTGCTTGTCTCTGCCACAGACACACCTCTGTGGTGCCTCTCATCAGTGAGGTAGGTGATCATCCTTTTGCTAAAGGTATCAAGAGCCAACCCTTAAGGTACAGTGGAACAGAAGAAGGATATGCCTAACTAAAAGGCACAAGCTGTGCCAGTGGCTTCCTTAAACACAGTGAGTAGTTCCACCACAATTAACAGGTCACTAGACGTTTAAGGAAATGAATTGACTCTAAGGCCTGTGTAATACCAACCTGCCTTGCTTTGTGATAGTGCATTTAAGATCGGTCTTAACACAGTACCACAAGCAAGTGGAGCTTGCCTCTGTCCTGTATACCAGCTACACTTCTTGCCACCCTGGAAGAACCCAGATAGTATTACTAGGGACAACAGCAAATGAAAGCACAAGTTTAAAACCAGGCCGGGTTCACAATTACATCAAGAGGCCAAGGGAGGCGAAGGCTACTTCAGAAAGGACAGAGACGGAGGAAGGGAGGCGAAGGCTACTTCAGAAAGGACAGAGACGGAGGAAGGGAGGCGAAGGTTACTTCAGAAAGGACAGGTAGGGAGTGGGGAGAAAGGTAGGAGAGAATGCATGCCCTGCCACTATTTCCCATGTAAGTCACTCCGCTCCATGTCATCCTTTCGGCGCTTGTGGGTGAAGAGGGAGGGGACAGGGTAGAGCTTGGCCTTGGCCTGGAACCGGTTTCCTGCTATATCAATTTCATACTCTCCCCGGTTAATGAAGTCTGCTGTCACTACTTGCTCTTCCCCACTGTCTTCAGAAAAATTGTGCACAAAGCCCAGGCACACGTGGCGCTCCAGGGTGTAGCTGTAGGCACTGCTGGTGGTCTTGCCAACGTACTGCCCATTCCGGTAAATGGGCTCTCCCCACCATGGCCAGAGGTCCAGGTCTGTGTCATGGTCATCCAGGATGAACATAGTAAGCCGCTTATATACCCCATTCTGCTTCTGGTGCAGAAGGGCATCCCGACCAATGAAATCCATGTCCTAGAAAAGAAAGGAAACACTGAACTACCTGTCTATACTCCTTGATGATTAGAATATGAAGCAGCCTCAAGGTATTAGACATCCTGGTGGTACTATAGTGGAATGCAGCATGTTTCCGAGACAGTTTTCCCTATGTGATGGATGAGTATATTCAGAAGACAAGATTTAAAAAGGCAGGGCTGAGAAGATGGCTCAGTGGTAGAGCGCTTGCCTTGCTTGCATGAGGCCCTGGGTTCAATTCTTCAGCACCACATAAGCAAAAAAAAAAAAAAAAGCCAGAAGTGGCGCTGTGGCTCAAGTGGTAGACCACTAGCTGAAGAGCTGAGGGACAGCTTTCAGGCCCCATGACCTCCAAACCGCCCCCCCCCCAAAAAAAAGATTTAAAACGGTATTTTTCTTTTTTTTTATTTGTACTGGTCCCGGGGCTTGAACTCAGGGCCTGGTGCTGTCTCAGCTTTTGTGCACAAGGCTAGTACTTGTGCCCCAGTGCCATTAGTTGGAGATAAGAATCTCACGTGCCTGGGTGGCTTTGAACTGCAATTCTTAGATCTCAGCATCATTCTGGGTATCTAGGATTACAGGGATGAGCTACCAGTGCTAGTCAAGAAAAATGATTAAATGTTTTTAGTGCTTAACAGTATCTCTGAAGAGAGAAAGAATAGATCAATTTATTTTTTTTCCCAAAGTTAGTTACTGTTATCAGAAAAAAATTACATGTAATTGCTTTAAAAAAAAACAACTATCAAGTATCCTAGCTACTCAGGAGGCTGAGATCTGAGGATCACAGTTCAAAGCCAGCTTGGGCAGGAAAGTCCACGAGACTCTCATCTCCAATAAACCACCAGAAAACTGGAAGTGACACTGGCTCAAGTGACAGAGCATTAGCATTGAGCTGAAAAGCTGAGGGATAGCACCCAAGTGCAGAGTTCAAGCTCCACAACCAAAAAAAAAAAAAAAAAAAAAATCAAACCCAAAACCTGTAAAGCCAGGCACTGGTGGTTCACTCCTGTAATCCTAGCAACTCTTATCTCCAATAAAGTATTCAGAAAAAGCTGGAAGTGGAGCTGTGGCTCAAGTGGTAGAGTATTAACCTTGAGAATGAGATGCTCAGGACAGAACCAGGACATGAGTTCAAGCCCCAGGACTGCAAAAAAAAAAAATAGTAGTGCTAGGTTCAGCAGCACATTTACTAAAATTGAAACAATTCAGAGATTAGCATGGTCCCCAATAGAGGACACACAAAAACTGTAGGCAGGTTATAGTGGCTCACACCTGTAATCCTGGCTGCTCAAAAAGGTAAAGATTGGACAGATTGTGGTCCATACTTTTCTGGTTAATGTGAGACCCTATTTGAAACACTTGCACTATGCTGGATGCTGATGGCTCACACCTGTAGTCCTAGCTACTCAGTAGGCCGAGATCTGAGGATCATGGTTTGAAACCAGTTCAGGCAGAAAAGCCTGTGAGACTCTTACTCCCAATTAAACATCCACAAGCCAGAAATGGAGTGTAAGTTCAAGCGAAGCACTAGCATTGAACGAAAAAGTTCAGGAACAGTACTCAGACCCCAGGTTCAAGACTGAAGAGTACTGGCACCAAAAAAAATTTAAAGTGTTGCCTATGACAAAAGGGACAGCAACTGGGTGGACTTGATTCTTCTGAACTACGCTATCTAAAAAATCATCTATTGCTTAAAAGTTAGATAGCTGATAACTAATGTGTTGTTTTGGGGTTTTGTCAGTCGTGGGCTTGAACTCTGGGCCTAGGCCAAGTCCCTCAGCTCTTTAGCTCAAAGTGAGTGCTCTACCACTTGAGCCACAGCTCCGGTTTTCTAGTGGTTTATTGGAGATAAGAGTCTCAAGGACTTTCCTGCCCGGGCTGGCTTTGAACTGTGATCCTCAGATCTCAGTCCCCAGGTAGTTAGGATTACAGGCGTGAGCCCACCGAGCCTGGATGTGTGTGGCATTTTAAAGTCAGCATAATCAACTCATAAAAAAACTTTCCCCAAGCCAGACAATGGTGGCTCACGCCTGTAATCCTAGCTACTCAGGAAGCTGAGCTCTGAGGATCCAATTCAAAGCCAGCCAGGGCAAGGAAAGTCCACAAGACTCTTATCTCCAATAAACCACTAGAAAAACCGGAAGTGGCTCAAGAGGTAGAGTGCTTGCCTTGAGCTGAAGAGCTGAGGGACACCGACCAAACCCAGAGTTCAAGCGCTTCACAAAACCAAAAAAAAAAAAAAAGAAAACTTTCCCCAAAGCACGTAGTCTCTAAAGGGCAAATCACACAAACATTGTTTGCATATTCCATTTCTCCTGATTTACCTTCTATCAGTTTCCCTACATGTCAGCAATTCTTCCCTGAAATCTCACAGTATCACCGAACTGAGTGGCAGAGTGATAAACACTGTACCTTGTCTAATTTCACCCGAGATTCTCCTCCACATTCCAGAGGTGTAGTGAGGGTATTTAGATCCTGGCCCCAGAAGGCAAAAAACTTCTCAATTCGGAGACTTCGAAGAGCATAGTACCCAGCATTCCGGATTCCGTATTTTTGCCCAACACTCATCACTTCATTGTACACATGAAGTGCATACTGTTAAAAGGGGAAAAGTTAGAAGCCTTTCAAATCAGAGCTCATATGGAATATATAACATTACTAATGTAGACAAAGGAAAGATTGTACACAACTCCCAGATATCTCATTTTTTTGGTCATGGGGCTTGATAATGAAGCCTGGAAACTATCCCTGAGCTTTTAGGCCCACTTTCGGTTTTCTAGTGATTAACTGGAGATAAGTGTCTCACGGATTTTCCTGCCCTGGCTGGCTTTGAACCACAATATTATATGTTGGGCTTCTGTATTACAGCTCATTCTTTTTTTTTTTCTTTTGTCGGTCATGGGGCTTGAACTCTGGGCTTGGGCGCTGTCCCTCAGCTCTTCAGTTCAAGGCAAGCGCTCTACCACTTCAGCTACAGCGCCACTTCTGGTTTTCTGGTGGTTTATTGGAGAGAAGAGTCTCACGGTTGGGGCTGGGAAGGTGGCTCAGAGTCTCACGGTTTTTCCTGCCCGGGCTGGCTTTGAACCATGATCCTCAGATCTCAGCCTCCTGAGTAGCTAGGATTACAGATGTGAGCCACCAGCACTCAGCTACAACTCATTCTTAATAAACCATAGGGCTAGAAATTGTTCTTATTATAGTGGTGACCCCACCATCTTACTTAGTTTTGCACTCTTGTTCCAATCTCAACTTTCACTCTTACCCCATCTACTTGACCAACATGTGAAAACCCAGACTGTTAAGTATATATGCACATGTTTACTATTTCACATAATTATATAGCTTTTTTTTTTTTTTTGGTCGGGCCTGGGGTCTGGGTGCTGTTCTTCAGCTTTTCAGCTCAAGGCTAGCTAGCACTCTACCACTTGAGTCACAGCGCCACTTCTGGCTTTTTCTGCTTATGTGGTGCTGAGGAATCAAACCCAGAGCCTCAGGCATGCAAGGCAAGCACTCTACCACTGAGCCACCTTCCCAGTCCCATAGATAGCATTTTTTAAGAACCCAGAATCAGTGGAGACAGGAAAGCACAGCTTAACTATCTGTGTCTCATTATGCAGCTGTCTCTCTCTTATAGATGTGTGTATATCTCCTTTTCTTGATTACAGAAACATGTAAGCATCAGTAAGTGAACAAAAGTTTACCCAAATTCAATTTCTTCTATTGACCAGATGAAGAGGCTATTCTGGACACTTGAAAACAGAATGAGAGACAGCCAGGATAGAAGACTATGGAAATGGGAAGATCAGATACAGACCTGCTGAGAAGTAAGACAGCAGGAAGCCTGGACTGACAAGGGAAGGGTAGGCCCACCCACTGAGTGAGCCCCATCAGCTGAGGGTTACTTGGGAGATTTGCTTACTTGAGATGATTGCCCAGTGTACCTGCCACATATGCTAGGTAGGAGAGAGAGCTCTGAGCCTCACATCCAGCAGGCTGCTATATTTCTCCTGCCTTCCTACCATAGGGTTTTTTCTGTAAGTGCCGAAATCACTAAGACCAGCCAGCAGCATGCTGGAGCCCCTTGATTACAGTATCAAATCAGTCATTTTCTTTTCTATGGTCTTTTGTGGGATAGTTGACTTTAATTGACTTTTAATCTGTTTGTTTGATTTGTTTTAGCGTTCCTGCAGTGACAGCAGAGTTTTTCTCCTCTGAGGTACTGGTGATTAAGTCCTTGTGAGAAAAAGCTATAGACCTCCAAATAAAACTGAAAGAAAAAAGCTTTCCCAACAGATGGCAAATTAAAACTTAAGGTAACATATCGACTTCAAGAACTCATAACTCTTTAATAACTGAATCCAGACACATCGAACAGAATGAAATTGCAAAGAATTCAGAAGTCTTGAAAAGTCTTGTTTTGAAAATGATCAGTAACCTCCAGAAAATTTAAATGAACAAAATGAATTAAGCTAAAACCTGGACATAAGCATCAAGAACTTGGATGAAAATTTCAACTTGGGAAAAATAGTAATATAAGAACATCCAAAGCTTAATAAATCAAAATATTCCAAGGAAAACATCAAGTAGACCAGGTTGCACAAAGACTATGAAGTACTGACAGTAGGAGAGAAGAGTTGTTACACTCAGATGACAAAAAAGGTGGGTGGCTCTTGCCTATAAGCCTTGTTACTTGAGAGGCTGAAAGTAAGATTATACCTCAAGGCCAATCCGGGCAAAAAAGTTCACAAGATTCTGTTTGGACACAAAAAGATGGGCTTAGAAGCATACATAGGAGGATCAAAGTTCAGGCTGGCCCAGACATAAAGACCCTATCTCAAAAACAACCAGAGCAAAAAAGGCTACAGACATGGTTTAAGTAAGTTCAAACCCTAGGACTGCCCCCCCCCCCCAAAAAAAAAAGATTGTAAGAAAATACAATTAGAAATCAATATGAGGGCTAGAAATTAAATACATGAAGGCTGAATAATGCACTCTGGATGAAGAAACCAAAGGTAAGTTGAAGTTCTTAGAATTACAGCTGCCAGATTGACAATAGAGGCCTTGAGTTCAAACTCCAGTACCACCACACGCACAAAAAAAAAAACTATTAGAATCAAATAAAAACAATTTACCATAACCTCCAGAGTAGATAGAACAAAGGCAATTCTTTATTTTTTTGGTCAGTCGTGGGGCTTGTAAAAGCACCTGTAATCCTAGCTACTCAGGAGGATTAGATTTGAGATTGTGGCTCAAAGCCCACTGTGCAGAAAAGTCCCTATGAGACTCAATCACCAATTAATCACTCAAAATAACAGAAGTGGTGCTGTGGCTCAAGAGGGAAAGCACTAGCCTTGTGCACAAAGACACTCAGGGACAGCTGAAGAGCTGAGGGACAGTGCCTAGGCCCTGAGTTCAAGCCCCAAGACAGACAAAAGTGTTTTTTTTTAACAGTTCAAGATGGTGAAATTCCTTCCTGTAGCTTATCTCAATTCTCAAGGCCCAGTCATACACAACTCTCCAAATCTGCAGGTGCTCATAAGCTTTGAGTCGCCACCCCCCTGCTCCCATCCCAGTGGTCCTGGAAAGGCAGATGGAGCTCTTACCTCTATGGGGATATAAAGCATGAATCCTGGCTCTCCTGTGTGAGTCATGCTCATTACTCGGATCCCATTTGCATAGCCAACACTCATCTCCTGTAGACACACAGAAAGTCACAGATACTGATCAAGGGAATAAATGCCTAAGAAACTTCTCATTAGCCCTGTACTCTTCACTTAACTCTTAAGGGAGATATATGTCACCACTTCCAATGTTTGGCCAAACAAATGGTAAAAAGTACTAGTAGTCATTTAGTTGGGGGTATCTGGAGCAATGAGGGCAAGTTTCTTCTGAGGGACACTGCAGACAATCTGGATGCCTGCTACCCTGACGACAGAGATCCATCTTCTAATTTCCAAACATTGTAGCAGCTCCAGTTGAGGTCACTGTCTTAGTCACTGCTGAGCAGCTGAGGGAAGGAAAGTAGCTTCAAACAACACTGAAACCACCATGACTGGTAGTAATGGCTAATGTGGAGAGCTTCCTGTTGCTTTCCCTGCTTTAGGGAAGAGAGAACAATTTAGAGATGGATCTCAACTTTGGTTTGTACTTCAAAGAGCCTTCATCAGTAATTATTTGGAAACAGCTATTACAGGTTGCCAAATGTTTTCTTGTTTAGACCTCTAATAGCTCTAATACTCCTGAAAAGTATTTCATGATCATTGCTTTGATTCAGCTACAATTTGTGTCAGCTATTGCTGCCACTTACAGAAATTTTTGAATTGTTTGAAATACAGTCATGTCATTTCTCCCCTAAAGACAAGTATTACACAGAAGTTACTCTGAAAGAAAAAGCAAAGCTAAGGGGGGAAATAGGTCCTATTCCTTTAAATCTACCGTTACAAAAACCAACAGATGAACAGATCTGGCTTTCAAAGAAGATAGCCTAATAAAATTTGAAAGGTGAAAAATAATCTACCCTGTCCTTTTGCTTGCTTAAAAAAAGGAACACTGTAAGACGTTAGTGGTCCCACTATGAAAGAAACATTCTCTGCCTAATTAATACTCACCTTGCAAAAAAGAGTTGGGAAGTGGTCTGGAGTCATAGGTGCGTAGGACAACTCAGATAACACATCCACAGCTCGAGGGCCAATCAGATTGAGGGCTACAGGGAAAAGCACAAAGAGGTGCCTAGCCTGTCTAGGTGAACAACTAAGCCAATGAGAAGTATGTTCTAGAGTTGCTCACCTATGGTCAGCCATGGGTAATGAGACCACACTATCCCTTTGCTTAGCTTATCTAAGGATGCAACCCAGTCACTCTGATCATGGTATGAATACCTCTGCTGACAGGCCTGTCAAATGCAACTACTGACTGCTGGTGTGAAAAGCTGAGTAGTATGTTTCTTCACCCTGGTTCATTGGAAGGCAATGTTTTTTCTTCTACAGTGCAATTAGGGTGACAAGACCAACTCTTGGCCAATGAGATGCTTCCAGGACTGGCCATGGACCGTTTCCATTCTCTTTCTCTTCCTAATGTGACCACATGATGGAAATGGCACCAGTCTCAAACCCCGAAAAGTTATTTATGTCCACCTGCCCTGGACTCCTATCTTAGAGTAGTAGCTCATAATTATACATCAAGTGCCTTAGTACAGGCAGAACACAACTTTTACTCAATAAGATTCTGTAGTTTTCTGGACACTAGTGGCTTACACTTGTAATCCTAGTAACTCAGCAGGCTAAGATCTGAGGATCTTGGTATGAAGCCAGTATGGACAGGAAAGTTTCTGAGGTTTTTTCCCCCCGAATCGTAGGGCTTGAACTCAGGGCCTGGGCACTATCTCTCAGCTTTTTTGCACACGGCATTCTACCACTTTGAGCCACAGCTCCATTTCCTATTTTTAGGAGTTTAATTGGAAAAAAGAGTCTCAGACTTTCCTGCCCAGGCTGGCTTTGAATCATGATTTTCAGATCTCAGCCTCCCAAGTAGCTAGGATTACAGGTGCCCAGTTCCATGAGACTTATCTCCAACTAACTTCCAAAAAAAGTTGGAAGTACAGGTGTGGCTCAAGTAATAGAGCGCTAGCCTTGAGTGGAAAAAGTTAGGCCCGGAATTCAAGCCCTAGTATGACACAAAAACCTAAAAAGTTTTGTAGTTTGCCAGTGAAGTTAATTACTATTCATGAAAACAGACTGAAGGCCTGAGAATCAACACTGGAGGAAAGGAGCAGGTACCATGTGAGGAGGAGAGAGGTTAAGTCTCAGTGGGTGGTGTAAGTAGGGCCGCTGGGTGCCGGTGGCTCATACCTGTAATGCTAACTACTTAGGAGGCTGAGATCTGAGAATCAAGGTTCATAGCCTGATCAGGCAGGAAAATTCTTATCTCAATTAAACCACCAGAAAACTGGAAGTGGCATTGTGGCTCTAGTGTAGAGCGTTAGCCTTGAGCTGAAGAGCTGAGGGACAGCACCCAGGCCCAGAGTTCAAGCCCCACAACCAACAAAAAAAAAGTAGGGCCGCAGGCTGGGAATATGGCCTAGTGGTACTTGCCTAGCATATATAAAGCCCTGGATTCGATTCCTCAGTATAAACAGAAAAGGCTGGAAGTGGCACTGTGACTCAAGTGGTAGAATACTAGGCTTTAGCAAAAGAAGTTCAGTGTGCCAGGCACCGGAGGCTCATGCCTGTAATCCTAGCTACTCAGAAGGCTGAGATCTGAGGATTGTGGTTCAAAGCCAGCCCAGGGCAGAAAAGTCTGTGAGACTCTTATCTCCAATTATCCACCAGAAAACTGGAAGTGGTGCTGTGGCTCAAGTGGTAGAGCGCTTGCTTTGAGCCAAAGAGCTCAGGGACAGTGCCCAGGCCTAAAATTCAGGCCCCATGACTGACAAAAAATTTTAAGGCTGGGTGCTTGCAGCTCATACCTGTACTCCAGCCACTCAAAAGAGGTTGAGGGGGCTAGGAAGGTGGCTCAGTGGTAGATCGCTTGCCTTGCATGCATGAGGCCCTGGGTTCGATTCCTCAGCACCACATAAGCAAAAAGAAAAGCTGGAAGTGGCCCTGTGGCTCAAGTGGTAGAG